GTATGAAACCTTAAGGAGTGCTTGCATTTGCATAGTGTGGGAGTTGTAACACATTTGCATAGCACAGGTTTTCTCAAACATTCTCTGTTTTCTGTACTTGAACATATAACTTCCTGCATTACATGTCTCATTGACACCTTAAATCTCCACCAGGAGTGTGTACTTTAGTACTATAATTGCTGTGAGTTACATTTGGGTCCTTTGGACTTCCTCCTCAGCACTGGGATTAAAGGCGTGTGTCACCTCACCCAGCCCTGTCTTAGGTTCTTTAATAACCATGTGTACCCCTAAAAAGAAAGACAGAAAACCCCCCAAACCCACAAAACCTCTTTTTTTAAATCTGAACTTACAGTACTTCTAATGCTAAATATGTATTCGTTTTTTCTGCACAGTAACCCTCCCATTATCCGTGGGTAGGTGGAGTGTTGGCTTCGTATACAGGTTCAATTCCTCAGCACCTCTTACTAGTCAATGGCATGCAGGTCTGTCATCCACACAGGAGGATCAGGAGTTTCAAGGTCCATATTTGAGAAAGGAACTTGTAGCCTAGGTGGGCCAGGAGCTGCCCGAGGGCTAGAGAGCCTTAGAACTACTGATTAGCCTGTTAAATGCCTTCTCTTTGTCTAGCTTTCTTCTTCAAAGCCCTTTTAAGGTACCATGGATAAATGCCAGATGATGATCCTAATGGACATGTAAATTCCATTTCAGATGCCAGTTGTAAGTCTTAGGTAGTTACTGGCAATAAACCGGGGGCTCCCACAACTTCCTACTCAGGCTCTCTGATTCACTCCAGTGGCTCACAGAGATTAGGAATGCACCCGGCTTACCATTACTAGTTTACTATAAATCATACAATTTATGAGGAAGCAAATGGAATAAGTAGGTGAATAAGACAGCTATCGGGGGCTCCCTGGAGCTGCCATCTCCTTTGCTGGTGCACCACTCTCTTAGAACTTCACCAGCTCACAAAGCTCTCTAGTCCCATCACTTAAGGGTTTTTTCTTTGTTTCAGATCCCATTACACAGACATGGTTGATTAAATCATTGCCTGTCAGTGACTGACTAAATCCCCAGTCCCCTTTCCCTTCTTGGAAGTTGGAGTTAGAACCAAAGGTTGATTCTTAATCACATAGTTGGTTCCTCTGGCAGCCAGTTCTCAGCTTCTAAAAGTGACCTTGATAACATAAACTCCGGCATGGCTGAACCCCACTTAATATATATAACACAAAAGATCCTCTTTGATTAGGAAATCCAAGGGTTTTAGGAGTTTTGTGCTAAGGAGTGGTATGAAGACCAAATATATATTTCTTAGTCGTATTGCAGTATCACAATCCCATAATGACCCTACAGGTAGGTAATTATTAATATTATTTTCTAATTAATATGATCCCTGAGGCACAGAAAGGCATGGTAACTTGCCTAGAGTCACAAAGCCAGGGAACAGAACAATCAGGACTTTTGAGAGGGCCTTTGATGGTCATATCTACACTTCTTGGAGTCCCTTTTAATCTATGAAACATTTCTCAGAGAAGCCAAACTTGTGGGGAGACTCGAAAGACTATTAGTGGTTTACCAGGAAGAGAAGAAGAGGAAGAAAGGAATGTGCCAGATTCTAGAAGGAGCCTGAGCTAAAGACATGATATGCGTCCTCTGGGTGGAAAATTATGGAAGGGTGTGGTGACAGAATCAAGTTTTGCCTGTTTTATGGGCAACAAAGGAATGAGAATCCCATTCTCTACGTATAGGGGAAGGAAGCCCCACCTGTCTCCAGTGGCTACCCCCATCAGCCCTGTGCTGTTCCAAGTACACAGGAAGGGCTCTCATGACTTCTGTGTGTTAGAGTAGTTAAATTGCCCTGATTTCCTCAGAGCCACAATGTGTGTACTGAAGCTCTTCCTGTTTCTAATCATGCCTCTGGTACCTTCTCTTTGGAGGGAGAAATTATTAAACACCCATTTTAAAAAGTTAACACTGTTTTTTCCCCAGTTTATACTTGTGACTTATGATTCAGTTTTCTCCCATTTTGAGTTTTCCTGTGGAACCTGAGGTCATTTTATCTTTCTTGTGCATTGCAGGTATATTGCTTTGTGACCTGACAAGACCTTTTGTTTGAGTTGCTGCCTTGAGTTTTATAGAAACACATTGCATGAATTTTGATTTAGGATTAGGTAGAATTTCCACCAATTTCTGAAATGGCCTTTCCTATTTTGTGGTTATATATTTATGGGAAACAGCATTCTCTCTATTAACAATTATAAGATTAAACTACTGATCTGAAAAATGTTGAAGATGCTCTGTGTCCTTAAGTATCAAATAATCAGCCAATATTTACATTAAAAGAAGCATATCCATCTCATTAGTATGAAAATTAATTTCATCTTTAGTGTTAGAAATGGTAAATTGTATGTATATCAAAAAACTGTTTTAGGATAAGTTTATGATTTATTATCAGTAAGCATTTGCATTTTATATGTACAGTATTCTCAGGTGAAGTGGATATGAATGGAAAAAAGTTTAAGAAGCCCTGATTGTAGTGTCCTTGATGATGTTTATCTTTTTTTTTCCCTCAAGACAGGGTTTCTCTGTGGCTTTGGAAGCTGTCCTGGAACTAGCTCTTGTAGACCAGGCTGTTCTTGAACTAACAGAGATCTGCCTGCCTCTGCCTCTGGAATGCTGGGATTAAAGGTGTGTGCCACCACCACCCGGCTGATATTTATCATTTTCCTAGTTTTTTTTAGTAAGATTTTCTGTGAGTGGAGAGATGGCTCCACAAACAAGAGCACTTGCTGCTGCTCTGAAGATCCTAGTTCAGGGCACACATATGGCATGGCTCACAGCCGCAGAGGATCCATGGGTACCAACACACACACACACACACACACACACACACACACACACACACCACATCCACATGAGTGCACGTGAGTGTGCACAAAGACACGGGGAGGGAGGGTAAATCTTTTTTTAAAAATTTACGAAGAAACATTTCTGGGTTTTTTTTTTCCACAGAAAGGCTATCTACAACTTTTCTATTCAGTCATCCAGCATTTTGAAATCTTTCTAGCATTGTTATTAGTTAGCCATCACTCAGAGGAACAATTGTCATCAGCAAATGGAGACTGTTTTCTGTCCCTTTTCTGCCACCTGTTTTTATAAACATGAAATAAAATTGATCTGTGCATTTTCTCCTTAATGTGTATTTCTTATCCACAGAGAGTATATTTATCTAGACCATTACCATATCTATCAGGAAGCATTCCTCAGATACCATGACAGCTATTTTTTAAATGATTTTTGATGGTGGAATGTTGGAAGACATTGTTGGCTGGTCAGAGATTTCAGCCTCCCTGTGGCCTAGCAGCTTATCTCAATAGGCAAAATGGAGCTCCCTCCCTCCAGCGGAGCTCACTTCCTCTACCTGCCCTTCTCTAGGCCTGGAGGACTGACCTTATCTAAAGCTCTCTCTAAAACCAGACTACCCAGTCATCTTTAGCTTGATCCTTGGCACAGATCCCTGCTGAGAAGACTTGTGCTAGGAGCTTTGCTATAGGACCCTACTACTATATACTGCCCTGTGATAGGAGCGTGCCACTTAATGCAAATTAGTTTGTCCCCAGGCTCCCAATCCCATATTTTTTTATACTCTGAAATAAAATTGAACTGATCCACCATAATCTGTCGGGGGGGGCCGGGGAGGAGGGGGGCTGTCTCCGTTCATGCTCATGGAACTTGTACAAAGCTTTCTCTGTCGCCTCTTCTGCATCTTTTCCCTCTCCACCTGGTGGCCAATAGGCCAAGAGGGAAAGAGGACCTGCACAGTGGAATTTAAATAGTGCTTGCTCATGTCATATAGAAAGCTATTTTGTATGCTCATCTTTTCAAATTGCCCTGACTAACTTTGTTACTGCTCTAGAATTACACTGCTGTGATTTAGAATTACTTGTTATTTTGTTTCAAGTTTTAGTATATATTGCTGATTGTTTCTGACTTTCAGACTTGCCTCACTCTGTAGTGTTAAAGAGAATGATGATAAAAATAGGTGTTTTTCACCAACTGTTTGTATTTGGAAAACCTTTCATCTAACAATATAGAATCCAAACAGTACCCTCAAACTGCTGAAGTAAATTTAATTTTTATATTAATCGCACTGTTGATAAAATAATTGTGTAGAAAAGACATCTGAAACCTCGAATGAATGTCTGATTTTACAGATATTGAAAATTAAGTGGTGAGGATATTTGATAGGAATGACAAGGATATTTGATAGGAATGACAAGGAACTGGCTACTTTATAATAGATGAAAACCCCATAATTGCTACTCTGGCTCTTATTTCTCTGGCCCATAAAACTAGTAGAGAGATATGTAGTTCTGTTACCTGGAAACCTGGGCTAGAACCATAAAGAGCCCTTGGGCTAGTTTGTCAGGAAATTTAGCATTGTTTATCTATGCCAGTGTTGGGAAAACCTAGAATGTTCATTTTACACAAGCTTTCTTTACTGTTGGCAATGCATAATTTTGGCCTGCAAGGATCTAGACCACTATAAGGCAATGAAGTCTTGAAAGGTACTTGGAGGGAAGTTAAAATAAAAATGCTGAAAGAGATTTTATGCCAATACTGGCTTCATCTACCCACAAACATGACTAGACCTTTTTACTTTGGGAATTGATTTTTTTCCTTTTGTGTTTGTTTGATTTCTGCTAGAATATTGCCTCACTACATCTCTGCATGTGTGGTTCTGGGCATTGATCTCAATACCCTGTGCATGCTACATAAATCCTTTATCACTGAGCTGCATCTTTGAAGCTATAGTAGTGTGTTGTGTTCCACTGTGAGCTCTAGCTCTGGGAAAGTTGTAGTTGTTTGAGCCCATGTTGAGAGCAATTGCCTAGCTCATGCAAGGCTCTGGGTTCAATCTTAAGTACCACAAAACACAACAGTTACGGTTTCAAAACTTGTCTTTCCCCTTTCCCTAATCAGTGTTCTCTGGTTTGTTCTAGGATGGCCTGGATTCTGTTGGAGGAAGCCGGACAAAGCAGGAGAGTGCATGGATATTCAGGCTGTGGTACAGCTTTGATCACAAGTATCCTTTTGCCTTCCTGTGGGCTCAGGAGACATTGGTGACAACATCAATTTGTTGAATTGTCAGTGGGTGACACTCCTGAATGGTGTGCATGGGACAGGTATACTCAGTGTTCTCTTGGGACAAGATGATCTTTCAACCATGTGTGGCCATGGTGAGCATCTCTCCAGCCAAGAGAATGTGGACATTTCAGTAGAGTGGGTAACCAATAGCCTGGTAGACTCATGTGGTTCTCAAAAGCTTTATGTCCAGGGAATGGTGCCTTTGTAGGTAAGCCAGTTAAAATTATACAGTGGCCTGTCCTGAAGTCAGGAAGGGAGGGAGGCTTGGGCCATCCTTGTTGTGAGGATCATTCCTATTGGTTGAATTTGGCCAATTATATCTAATCTTATACTGACAAAATATGGCCACATGCAGGGAATACACTATTCTTGTCAAGTCAAAGTAAAGAAAAGACAGTTAAAACTTCGTGGTATTTTGTATTGATGTAGTGATCAAATTGGTAGATGGCTTATTATAAATATTTTTGAAGACATTGAAAATATTAAAGCAATATTTTCCAAAGCATAAAAGATGAAGAGAAAGATACCCGAATTATAAATGTTCTCAGTTGCCGAGCGTTGGTGGCGCATGCCTTTAATCCCAGTACTCGGGAGGCAGAGGCAAGTGGATCTCTGTGAGTTCAAGGCCAGCCTGGTCTCCAGAGCGGGTGCCAGGATAGGCTCCAAAGCTACACAGAAAAACCCTGTCTCGAAAACCCCCAAATAACAACAACAACAACAACAACAATAATAAATGTTCTCAGTTAATACACTCTGAGAGCCAACTATGGAAACATATGTCTGTACTCACAGCACTCAAGAGATGAGGGTAGGAGGACTGGAAGATAAAGTCTAACCTGAACTACATAATGAGTTCAAAGCCATCCTGAGCTATATAAGACCCTGTCTCAGAATAAACACACTCATTTAACATTAAACCAGTCATGAAACAAAAGAAAATGGCATAAAGCAGTATTTTTTGTCTTCACCAAGTGTAGCCACAGCCAGTTTTTTTCAATCTTTTAACTTTTGTAACATCTAATATTTTTCTTTTTCAATTATATATAACATAAATATGTGTTTATATATTTATGTAAATATATTTTGTATTAATACATATATAATTGAAAATAGTGTATACACACACACACACACACAAATATATATGAGGTTATATAGTGTATACCTGTTTTCATGTCTGGTTTATTTGTATGATTTGTCCGTGTTGTGTTTAGCTCTAGTTCATTTGTTCTTATTGATGCATACTATTTCATTGTATGACTATTCCACAATTTATCATTCTATTAATGAACATCAGATTTTTTCCCACTTGAAGAAAACTTCTGTGAATATTCAAATACATACATGTCTTTGATGTGTTGTGTGTATGTTTTCAGTGGTACTGTACCTAGGGGAAATATTGCTGGGGCATAAGACATGTAGGTTCAGCGTTAGAAGACAGTTTTCTAAGGTGGTGCTACTATTTCACAATTCCTAGTGTCTGAAAGTTTCAGCTGCTCCATATGTTTTTGTTATTGTCTTTTGACTTTTATTATTTTATATTTTACTGTGGCTTTAATTTATATTTCTGGGACAGCTCATAGAATTGAGGACTCTCTTCACACATTTAGTGGCCATTAACTATGTTCCTTTATGAAATGCTTGTTTACATTTCTTGTCCATTTGTCTATTGGGCTGTCTGCATTTTCTTGCTGATGGCTAAGAGTTCTTTATGTATCTGAATATCTACCTTTTGCTTTTCATGTATGATAAAATACCTTCTACTTTATATCTTATCCATTCACTTTAAATTAAGTTAAATTCCAAATTAAATCTTTTGAAGAACAGAAACTCTCCACCCCCACACCCCCACACCCCCA